TTTTTTTTATATATTAAATTTGTCACCTGACACGCGTTTTTCCCAGTTCCTGGTTTCGTGCATATATTTCTGTAATCCACTCTCCAATACGAGACACATTCCCGTTTTGAAATTAACGGCATTAGAACATACATAAGTTTCTTGGTTCCTTTGGAACCGTATCCATCGCGACCCCATCCAACGACATAGGCCATCGTATCGGCCATAACTTTACCATCCTTCAGACCAGCCAGATGTATCGGTTGGATTTTTTCTAAAAATTACAATTTCGTTGAACCAAAAACTATAATTCTATGATTATTAATTTTATCTGTTATATCTCTGAAGTTCTTTATCAAGAAATGCTATAAAGCCACGCGTTCTCCATCGACGAATATTTTTTTACCTGAAAAAGGAATGTCTTGCGGCAGGTGTAACAATCCGATATCGTTCTTGCTGAAGAAATAGTATGGATGTACGTGAGCCCGTGTCGTCATCATCGAGACTCCAGGTCCCCGATTTACATTGTAACCGATCCCGGTCTTATCAGTGATTCCAAATATCACGAAAAATCTTTGTGGGTACTTGGCGATACAGTGCCCTGCGGTCAGCACCCATCTTTTCGAAATGATGGTACCGCCGCACTGAGCGACTCTCTTACCATCAATCAACCGATGCACCACGGCCATGAACGGAAATTGACCGTCGTTTGCGTAACTTCCACCGACTATCCTCTCCATTTGTTTGGCTTTTTGATGACAAAAAGATATTCACAGAAAAACAGTGGATTCTCTCAAGAAAAAGATATAAATGAAAATAAAAATATATACTGATGTATAAATATAAAAACGCGAAGTTTAAGACAACATGCATGTCTGAATGACATCATAAAGCCGTTCTAGGCTTTATACAAATATAATATATAATATCTATAATAGCATTGATAAAAAATAAATTACATGATAAACTATTTACAAATCGAATATTATTGAAAGGATAAGTTCTCGAAATTTTGCTTATTAAATTATTATGCTTATTATATTAATTATTATTTGATTTTTTTAATAGAATAAAATGATAATATCATTTTTTACTATCGAATTCTTTAATTATTAGGGACATGTACTCACTGTTCGATACGAATGGCTGTTTATTGATCGTGATGGTACCATTATTAAAATCAATAATGATCTTTTTGTTATGAAATTTGAAATGTTGAGGCTGTTGTTGAGCATTTCTACGCGACACTGAAACAATCAGGAAAAATACGAAAGCCTTTGCACTCCACGAATTCATAGCGGAATAACGAAAAGTTTTGCGTCTCACTGCTATTTATGATTTAGTCAGTCAAGTATAACACAGATTGGAGAAACTATTTGCACGAGGTGGAAGAAATACGTTAGCCCTAACACTTTATTTCTCTGTCATAGATCATAAAATTAATCGATTATTATCACCGATTCCCATATGTTTTACTTCTCTTTTTGCCAAACTTATCATCGGTATATGTGAATTATTACTATTTAAATATTTTTAAATTTTATCGAAATTGTACTCTAATAAAAAGATATTACATTTATAATTGCAATATTATATTGCAAATAATAATGGAATTCTCTTATTTGTGTTTGAGCACTTTTTGCTCTATTTTAAAATATTTTTTTTTTATCAAATATATATTTATTTTTATTTAATTTACTATATAAAAGTAATGATATAGCTTTGATTAAATATTTCTTTTTACTACGTTCTTTCAATGACAAATTAAACATTATTGTATACAACAGTTACAGGATTGGGAAGTGCTATGTTAAAAAGATAAAAGTTAAGTTAAAAAGTTAATTAATTTTAACTTAACTTATTATATTTTAGACTCTTAACTTTTTAACTTAATTTAGTAATTTTATATTGTATAATTTTACTTGTGAACAAAAATAACCAGATTCAATAAATAAGCTGTGAAAAAGGAAAAATATGAAAAATTATGTAAAATAGTTAAACTTTTTTTTTGATTGTTTATTCGAACCAAGTTTAACTTTTTAATTATTTTTTTTTAATAATCTAACTTTTAATTCAATTAATTTTATTATCAATTCAATTAATTTTATTATGGATTAACTTGTATTTTAATTAAGTGAAATTTTCAAGGCTTAACTTTAACTTAATTTAAAAAAAAAGTTAACTTACCCAATCCTAAACAGTTATCGTTCCGATTGCAAATTTGCGCGGCAAATTAGCGCGTCGGAGAGAAGATGTCGTCATTTCTATTAATCTCAACTGTTACATCGAATTGATCGACAATCATTCTATTGTGCTGTTGACGGTTCCGCGATTTCTAGTCGAGCGGCCGTTGCACTCTGATTGAAACGCGCTCAAAGTAATGATTTCAGAGTATTTTTGCACGCATGGACAGTCTACGAGAGATAATGCGTGTGCGTGATACGTAATGCCATGATTCATCATTTATTGTCCCAAGAATCTCACGCTGTGAAGCTGAGTTGTGGACGTATTCGTCCACTGTAGTCCGATTTCGCGTGCCGTTAAATCGCACGACTAATCGTGCTAATCTTTCTTTTCCCTTGCGAACGACGTGTTACGCAACATCGGCAGTTCTCGCTTTCTTTGCGGAGTTCGAAATTGGCCTAAAAAACATACAATGTAAATGAATCTTTTTGCGGATTACTTTCCATTTTAGTACATCTATTAACATAATAATTCTATTATATTTATTAAACGAACAGGAATTTACTCGAATAACTTCCAAGGAACTTTGTTCCGAATTCCGAGGACGTTTTCAAGGAATTTGTGCAATGTAATGTTGCGTAATATATTGTAGCAAGAAGTGTTTCAAGTTGCGTAAAAAGTCAAACTAAAAATTTATTATGTAACATCTCCCATAAAATTTTATCTAATTCCAATTCTATTTTACTAAATATCTACTCAGTTTAATCTTACTGAATGTGATTTTGTTATTAATTATATCAAATTAATGTTTATTTTTGGCTATTTCCAACATTACTGGCGTTATTACAATGGAGCTAAATAGTAATACTGATTTAATCTGTTTTTTAGGAATTATGAAAAAAAAATTTATGATTTAAGGAAACTTAATTTAAATCACTTTGTAATATTTCAATTTTAAGATTAATTATTTATATTTTTTATTTATTTAAAAATGAACTTATTTAGATTTATTATTTTGGTTCTTTCCTTTTATGAAAAAGAGAATTGGAAGCGGTATATTAATATAATATAGTAGCGTAATAGTCAAGCAAACAATTAATAGTTAATTAATATTAGCTAAATTAATTTATTTGTCATTCTTTTGTTCTTATATCTTTTATATTCATTTTAGAAAGACACGGATAATTATTTAAAATTTTAAGTATTAATCGATTGTAGACACGATTTGTAATTTTTTCAATTTTTCTTGCTTGTTATCGCACAATGTATTTTATTATATCACAGAATTATCGATGCTCGGTCACGTTAGCGTTCTTTAGTTATCCCGCGATAATTAATAGATATACAGGGTGAATCAGAGTCGTTGAACCAATTTTTACCCTATGAGAAAATTATCGACTTATCTAATTAAATTATAACATGCAGTTAATTATTTTCCTAGAGCTGGTTCAATGACTCTGATTCACCCTATATTTCGAATTATGGCTTTTTGTTTTTTTCATTAAAGTCAAAGATTAAAGCTTAAAGATTATACTAATTCCATGAATTTTTGAAAGCCCGGAAATGGAAATAACAGAAAGGTAGAAATAGTAGGAGACTAGAAAAGAGAAAGTATGTTTTGTCTATCTATCAGAGAGAAAGTAGTTTCTCAAAAGAGACTAAATAACTTTGCAAAGAAAAAAGAAAAATATCGAAAGTTGAAAATCGATGAAAGATAGTTTTTAGAAACAAGTCAGAATTAAAATAAAATTGACACTAATATTATGTGTATCATCTATTTCTACTGGAAAATGAATTGAAAAGTTATAAAATCTAAATTAATGAATCCTGCTATGCTATTGAAATTATAAATATAATTCCGATTCTTTCGCGAAGAAAGAAATGCAGATATTATATAATTGTTTTTTAACAGGAATCCATAAATATACAGAATATTCCCATTGAAAACTGTTTTCATTATTCAAATAAAATCGGAACAGTGCTAATAAACATTGCAAATTGAACAAATCTCTAAATAGACTTTTGTACAAATGCGTCAATGGACACGTGATCTGTTTTAAGAGAGACTCATGCTAAGATGTTGCACACAGAATATTTTTCTTAAGGCCTATATAAATTATTATTAATATTATCCATTATTTTATTACAATTTTTGTTAATTAATAATATGCAGCATATATTACACATATAGTTTTTTAGTAAAATTTATTATATATATATATACTCTATCACATAGCGTGACGTAGCAAAAAATTCTTTAAATCTAAAGAAATTAAACAATGAATTTTACAAAAGGGGAATCTACTGACATCCTTTTTTGCAGCGAAATATACACGGTTGAGATGTAACGTCTGCTAGCAGTTGTGCTGCTACGCATGCGCTAGAATAGTCGCACCAGCCATCAGTTCCACTGACGGAATTTACGAGAGATCTATAAAGAACATGGCCCTCTCCTTGGAATCTTTTTTTAAAAATATCTATGCAAAATGTTATAAATATTTTTAATATTTCTGAAATTACAATTTTAATTCCAAAAATATCTTTTAATTTACAAAACTGCTGTAGGTATAAAAAATATACATAGATTCTATTACATTATTTTTTTATGTTAATATAATTTTGAATAAAACATCTTATGAATTATTCATTTAAATAATACTTCTTTGAGATAATGCTAATAATAATTTAAACATTCTATTTTTTCATATTTGACTTAAAAAAAAAATTTTGCTTGCTTTGCATTCCAGTCCCCCCGCCCTTGACAAATTTCTGGATTCACCAATGACTAATTCACACTATCACCCCTTCGCGTTTGCGCATTTGTTGGCAGACCTGAGATCGGAGCAGGTTGGAGCTCGGAGCAGTCGGAGTGGAGGAGAGATCGTGAACGAGCGGATCACATTACGCATATCATATCCGCACTATCCGCAGTGCACTGTGCATCGGTGATCTGGAGCGAGTGGCGACATTACATACATAATACGCGAACGCTGGCGAACGATATCGATATTATCGCCGTCGTCATCGTCATCATCAAGAGTGCGTTTAGCAGCTGGCCTAGCCCGGTTTCGCGACGGAGATGATCGTCACTCGCAATAATCGTGACGGAGCGAACGTGACGACGTGCCGGAAACTCACCGTCTCGGCGGGGATGTGAGCGAGAGGAACGCGCTCGCGAGAGCGCCGCGCGGCGTCGTCGTCGTTGATGACCAGCAACCACGACGACCTGGCCGGCTAATCGAGAGGGGTAAGAGACGCGCGCGCGGCAGTGTTGCTATCATCGTCGTTGAACGCGATATATACGAGCGACTCACGTCCGTGGGAGGCCGCGAGTCCGAGAGGGAGCACGATGGCGGATTTTGACGCAATCTACGAGGAGGAGGAGGAACATGAACAGCACTTAGAGGATCACTATGTCGCGATGGTGCCAGACCCGATCGTCATCCGCGGGGCTGGCAACATGACAGTGTAAGTTTCTTTCGTGGAGCGCCGCGTCACTCCGAGGCTCAAGACGCGCGTCCGAGAAGTTCTTTGTTGTCTGGAAGGACAGAGGGGGGGGGAGGGATGGGGAGGGGGAGGACAGAGGATTCCACAAAGAAGAGAATGCAAATAAAGCCACCTGATCTTTTTAATTTCGATGTTCTACTTGGCAACACATTCACGTCTCTCCCATTGTTGTTTCGATGTCGCCAGCGACATCATGTTATTTTTTTTCTCAGAAAAAAAATACATATTTAGCGATCTGCTGAACTTACATAATTAAATTGTTGTTTACCTTAGAATCGAGTCAATATTTTTATTTCCATTTCGAAAGAATTTCAATGAAAAATTTCATCCAAGTCGCAAAAAAAAACTACTATGTAAAAAAAATGTTATCGATATGTGCGATTTTTCTTTCAGATTCGGTCTCAGTAACCGTTTTGAATCGGAGTTTCCCAACGGCCTCATGTCCCGCGTAGCTCCAGAAGAGTTCAAGGCGACTGTTATGAGAGTGAACAGTGTATTGAAAAAGACTTTACCTGTTAACGTTAAGTGGTTATTCTGCGGTTGTGTATGCTGTTGCTGTACTCTAGGATGTTCTCTGTGGCCTGTCATTTGCTTGAGCAAGAGGGTGCGTACTAATTGTAAGAAAGTCCAATTTATAACTCTTTAAATTTTTTTGAATGGAATCTCACTCTAAAGAAAATTGATACAGTTTTGAAAAAAAGTAGCTCAATTTTTAAATTCTCACTCTTTAGAGTGAGATATACTTTAAAAGTTTTAGAGAGTAATGTTTATATAAGCTACAAGTTGGATAATAGTATTAGATTTTAATATATACATACAAGACATTAACAAGGATTATCTTTCTAGACTCAGCATTCGTTAAACAAATTGTTAGAATGGGAGAATAGTAGGCTCTACCATAAACTCGGTTTACATTGGAGACTGGCAAAACAAAGATGCGATAGCTCCTCCATGATGGAATATGTAAGACACTATGAAATTATTATTAGAATTTTAGGAAAATATTAATAGGTCTTATTTTGTAATGATATTGATTTCGGTTTTCTTGACATTACAGGTTCTTTTGATTGAATTTATTCCAAAGATTCCAATCTATAGGCCCGATTAAACAATGGGCAATCGTGCAATTAATAATACGTACAATGCAAATAATCAGCAATGTGCAATGTGCAACTGATGACATGCAGAAAAATACAGAGAAGATAAAGTGCCGCTACGATGATATAGGTACTTTTCTAGTACTTATGTAATGCATATTTTTGTAAATATTCTGGGTAGGAATGCACAGTACAATAATTCGACGTAACAGAGAATAGATTACATTTTGATCATAGAAAGAAAAAGGCAACTGTTAATTCTTTACAATTAATTTAAACTAAAAAAATATTGCAAACAAATCGAATGATTATTTTCTCAGAGATATTCATTTGGAATAAATCATAGATCATTTTCTATATTTTTAAATTTTTTGCGCTGAAAACTACTCGAAAGCTTTATTTATTAGTTTATTCAGTAATTGCAAGAATAATATCATCATTTTTTATCCGAATAACATTTGGTAATCTATACTCGTCAACTAGAATTTAAGCCTTCAGGTAAGAAATTAATCTGATTCAGTACAACGAATTTATTAAAGTACGGATAATAACGTCAAAATGAGTCATGCTAATCAATTTGTCTAATCGTGCATAATGCTACATGCACACACACTCATGTTGTACATACATACGTGTACATACAGAAAATAGAAACTTATTTTAACTATAGGTTAATTTCTTACCACCGTGATATTAGAAAGTATGAAATGTAAAGCGTAACTTTACTTTCTGATACAATTTCACAAAATATTTTAACACGAATAAATCATCCGAAATGAAGAAGCATACATTGTCAGGCGCGATTAAGAGATATCGATATAGATTTTAGAAGAAATATAGATAGCAATCGCTGATAAATGTAAAATATATATACCGATGAGATGAAATTTTAATTGCAAAACGCATCTATAATAGGGCAAACAGTACGGAACTGTAGAATAGCATCAGCGCAATTATTGGGCACAGAAGAACATAAGAAAATATTGTAGAAAACTGCCATGAACGAGCTCATTAATTCTTGCTTTTTAATGAAAAAAATCAACGTTATCACTTTTTACGTATATGCCGTTGCATAATTTTATGTGTCCAATCGCATGACTTTTAGAAGGAATGATTAACACTTAGCGCATGGACATTTCTGTCACATATTCGTTTTCTTTTTAAACTAATGTTAAACTAGTCTTAAGAAGAATAATGAAATTGTTTATTAATAAATTTTAATTTTATGGATAATAATACATTTTAATTTACTTAAGTGGCACATTGCTATCACAGTACTGTTTACTCTATTCTTGTTAATATATATACATATATAATATACTGTTTCTCAGATAAAACAGGATTACCAAAATATCAGAACAACGTCTCCCATGTAAAGGAACTTTGTTGTGTAGGCACTATTTTACATTGCAGTTTAATATGGTTCCGCACAGATATTTCTCTACTAACAATTTGTCTAATATATGATAATGCGACTGTTATCAGCTCCGCATTACTTTCGCATTAAAGAAAAAAAAAATCAAGCAAATTTACTCATTATCAGACGCCCATAAAACATAAAATGGTTATAGAAAAATACGCAAAAACATGTGAAAATACTGCAAGTGTTTCTGTTGCTGTTCAGTGGCTGTGATCGAGAACAAAAGACTAGTTTTGAATTTGAATGTGTATCACAAACAACTACACATAACGCCCGTGCTTTATCTTATGCGGTTCTACACGTTAAAGCCTTTTATAGAATATCAGATTTACTCTGTTTCTCTAATATTTGTACTTATTCTGTAGAATAATTAAGTCAAAGTAACAAGCATTTGCATTAAAAGTGTCTGTGTCATATAGATTAATAAGAACGCTCTATTGCCATATCTGATTTCAATCATACATACCATAGTTATAATCCATCTATCATTAATATTTTTTAAAAATAAAGCAAACAGAGCTATTTATATAGATTCTCATTTCACTTGAGGAAAATATGGAACAATTATACTCTTAATGATCTGTTGAATAGTTGATAATATATCAAATAATAAGCGATCATAAAAATCATATTATCATATTTTCGGACACGTGTGTACGAACAAATTGTTATACGATTATTATTTTTCCAATAACTCTATAGCGGGCAAAAGTGTCGGTATTTCTGTACTGAATGTCCTTCTAATCGATCCATTGAACAAATATTGAATTATATATAGAAATCGATATACTGTGTAATGGAACCATTGCATATGTGCTTTCTAAACTGAATATCGCAATCCTCTTGGTAGCGTATAATAAAATAAGGGCTGTGTTAAATTGGTCAAAGTGAGAGACGCATAATATGGTTCTAAACTATGCTTAAAAACAATTTTCGTATATTTCTAAAAATGAAGATTACTTAACGTATCAACAAATAAAAGCAGATTTTATTCCGTTTGCTCGCATTTTCTTGAATATTAAATACGGTCTAATTATACTTTCTTGAAATTACACCAAGTATCAGAAAAATGTATGTAACATTAACGCTCAGTTTGAAAGTAATATAATTACATATACACACTTAGTTTATTAATTTATTAATACTTTAGTATACAATCTTTAAGGCCACGTATACTAAAAAATTAATTAATAATCTTTATATATGTATACATATATTATCTACACAAATATTTACATGATTTTTCCTTCGCATAGACTATGAACTATGTGCACTCGGTAAAAGAAAAAAACTAAGGAATTGTTTTCCGTCGATGTTTTATTACTCTGCACATGTGTGAATATTTTTAGATATATCACAATACAAAAAAATAATAATATAAATGATAATTACAATGTACAAGGAAATAATTATAAAAACTAAATGCTTATTTATAGATACATATAAATTTTCTGTATAAATAATAAGCTATCTAGATTACAACACATGACGGCACATAATTTATACATAGTTTGCATAGTACACGTAAATATATATAAATAATTAATGTTTTTATGTGCATTTTCTTGGATATTTGGTTTAATGATAAAAGTCACCTTGGAAATCATGAATTTTAAGCAAGTACACTTCTATAGTCTAAGATTATTTTTCAATTCATGTGTTGTTTTGCAGAGAAGCTCAATTAATATCATGCATGTTGAATGTATGAATGGAAATATCAAGCATCACTCGGTAAAGATTCTTCGAGTTGCTCATATCATTCAATGCATCGCATTCCTTCATGGAATGTCTATAAATATATCCATTTATAAATATATAAACATATTTACACTCTGAATTAAAAACAAACATACATGTACATTGCAAGAAAGCCAATTATCCGAAATTGGTTTTTTACTTTTTAAATCTTTCATTTATTATTATTTGAAGGATCGAATATATCACTCTAAGGAGCGAAAATATTTTTTCAGTAACACGATTTTGTGTGTGAATTTAGATATTGACATTAAAGCGTAAGAATATAATAGTAATGTAAATAGGATGATAAATTTGCAAGGAAATGTATAGCGAATCGAAGTTAAATAATATCGATGATTACATTGCGAAAGATCAGGGGAAAGGAATATATTTTTGATAGAAGAGAAATGTAAACGAAATGATTATCAGGAAATTTGAATATAAAATTTGGTGTTGAATTTATGTTCTAGATTGAATATTTTTTTTATGCAAATTGCGTATAACATGACGATATCGAGAAGATATCGACATAACAGATTAATCGATACGAGTAAATTACATAACATCGCATATCATATTACACGTTACATTAAACTAAATACATTAGTGACATTAGATTGTAACTTGCCAAAGCATTTATTTATCTAACATTTTAAAGTTGAAGTCAATAGACAAATTGTAGTTGCAATACATCCTTGGCGCAAAAGTGGCTAATAGTAAAATTATTATCAGGCTATCGTGGTTTCAACATGTGCCTTTTACTCGTAAATTTGTGTGAATCATGTAAATGTAAATATTATATGTTAATAATATATGTTAAGAAATATATTTGTATAGAATGAGAGTGGTTCCTATATATAAATATATATTGCGCATTAATAAAATAACTACTCGCAAGCTCGCGATATCGTTGCACAAGATTACATGACGGATCGAAATAGCATATCATAATTTCGCAATGGATAAAAAAGCTTTCAGAGCATCATAATATTGAGATGCAGAAATGTGAGATATGACGTAATGAAATATACGTAAATATCGTTTCGTAAAAAGCTTTTGATTAACAGTCGATATAACACGATTTATTATATGACGATTAATTGTTTTCCGCTATAATTATCTTTTATACACATCGTTTGTTAGCCATGTAAATTTGTGTAACTGTGTTAACTGTTTTTCAGTTTGAAAATAAATCGTACGGTTGTATAATAGCCGAATATATTTCGAGCTTATTGAATTCCTTTTAATCGATATTCTTTAGCGACTGGAAATTAATTATAATTTTCAATGTAATTGCGGATGTAAGCTTT